CTGCTATCAGTTTTTTAGGTTGTGATTTTAAAGGACAAATTTTGGGAAAGGTATGAAGTAATAGCTCATAGCTATTCTTCAGTAACTGCTGTGAGGTAGGAGAATTACTGCTGAGTTGCATACTTGTATTTTAAATCTGGTGGCTTGGCCGACTTCACATGCTGTGGTTTTTTTTTTTCTTTTTTCTAGTTCCCTCTGATGCTTTGCAGTAGTTTAAAAATGCTTATTAGAATCAGGGAATGTTACACAGCACAAAGGTTTCCAAAAGCAGGATGCTTTCTTCCAGTATTGAGCAATAAAGGTGTACTTTTTTCAAAGGTAGCTTCCCAGCAGTTAAAAAAAACAGATTTCAGATTCATCTTTAATGTTGTTGATTGCAGAGATCTGTTAATGACAATGTCCAGTCACTCACTGGAGTTGAAAGCATCTCCTAATAAGGCTACCAAGCAGAATTAAGTGATTGGTATGCTACAGTTGCTTAACAACGTCTGGTCCAGGGATTATTAGTGAGGTCATTTTAAAGTAGGTGTTCCTGAAAAAGATTACTGCTGGGTCTGGAGAAAACAGTACATTGTAAACAGTTGGCTTTTTATGGGAGTAAAACTGGGATGAATGCACTTGAAATAGTTTAACTTCATTTTACTCTTAATTTGCAGGGCATACAAGTAGCCCGGACTCATGAATTAAAGCCCTACATTATATTCATCAAGCCATCCAGCATAAGCTGCATGAGGCAGACTCGTAAAAATGCCAGGATCATTACAGATTATTATGTGAACATGAAATTCAAGGTGAGATTTGGTAATTGAAGAGACTCAGTTTATTATTCTGGGATTCTGTGTTTAAAACATAATGCATTCTACTATGTTACTATGTTAACTCATTAAAAGATCATTGTGTCTTTAGGATCAAATCTAAGTTATTCTTGTCTTTTTCTGTTTGGTTTGTTGGGACTTTTTTTCTCCCTCCAGATTTGCTTTGAAGCAGAAGGGTTGTAATTTTTACCTAGGAGATTGAGGCATTTTGCTTCAAAATGTCTTTAAAGGAGAGGCTATTTCGTATATTTTTGTTTTTTATTAACTGCCTTGTGACAAGATTTGAGTCAACACATACATTTACTGTTTGCACTGAAATATCCGGAATGTGCTTCATTCAATAATTTAATCAAATATTTTTTCATGTGGTTATAAGAATGTACTGTTATTTCATGTATGCTTAATGACAGTATCAATGTCAATGCTGTACTAATTTCTATAGATAAAACGCAAATTCTGCTTGTAGGAAATGCAGATCTTGCATTGGCAATGTGTCTAGTGCATTGTCACAATTGTTTCCATGCAAATCATAATCAAGTTTAGCATCTTAAAATTTTGGAGACCTCAGTTCATAACTGTATATGGAAATGAATCATGATTGCTATGGCAGAAAGAAATGTGATCACCGTGGAAATAAACTAAAATGTGGAGTGAGAACACAAGTGTTAGTGGATTTGCCTTCCAGTCCCTAACATCCTCTGCCAGCACTTGTCAGCAGAAGAACATTTTTGGGGCAAATGGAGCCTACTGAGACACAAGGTATTTCCTTGGGAAGGATATGGCAGTCGGCTCTGTTTCAGAGACTTGGAACTGACTGTAGCACGCGTGCGTACTTTACTATAGCAAACTGTAAATGACACAAAGTACACTGGCACTATCTATTCATCTCTTGTTTACGTGGCCCAAGGTGTTCTGCAGATGCCATGCAGGTATGTTTCTCTTCACAACACTAAAGCTTTATAGACTTACTCTGTGTCTCGCAGGAAGAAGATTTACAGGAGATGGAAGATTCAGCTAAGAAAATGGAAGCTCAGTTTGGTCAGTTCTTTGATCAAGTGATTGTGAATGACAATTTACAAGAAGCATCTGCACAGCTGCTGTCTGCAGTCCATCGTGCACAGGATGAGCCCCAGTGGGTCCCTGCAATATGGATATGCTCAGACACTCAGCCCTAATTCTGAGCAGCAGGCAGCTTCAGAAAGATTACAGCTTATGTTTTACTTCAAGAATAATCCTAATGTCAGGATTGCAAGAATTTATCTTTGTATGTGAGGGATTTGGAAGAGGATTAGGAAAGAAGCTGCTACAGGAGATATAATCATGTTCTGTGTAGCTCTTCAGCTTTTTATGTTACAGTTGCATCCACTTTTGTACAAAAAAGGAAATATTGTGAGCTCTCTTACTACAAGAATAAAGAAGAATCTATTTTGTTGCATATATCTGCATAATTTACTTGTACATAGCTACAGAAAATTCCTTTCCTTTCATTTTATTATGGAGATTGTATACCTGTACATTCTGGAAGCCTTACTGACAAATGATACGCAGTCAATGTTCAGTCCAGAGCATGCTCTTTTAGCATGCTGTCTTTGAGCTAAGAGTATTATTTAGGAAGGTATTGGTTTGTTGCTTATCCTTTTTACCTGTTAAGACAGGAGCAGAGTGGTGGTGTCACAATAAAAATGACTCTAGAAACCGCCGTTATCTTCACAGTACATGTAGCATGTCTTTTCTTTTGTTCCATCAACTCAAGTGAGTAAAAACTGACAGAACATGGATTTACCAAAGAGGGAAATAAAGTGTGAAGCCCGTTTTCCTATTGGTTTGCTTTACGGTAGCATGTTCTCATCAAATGGTACAGTGCTTGTGGCAAACATGTTCCTTACTCTCTTCACCTTGCATTACAGTTGTCTTGTTCCCTGAGGAACATGGCTGATTATTCTGTTGGCCTACCTCACCTTGGAGGAAACGCAACAAAAGCAATTTAAACCACCTAGAAAGAGATTATTCAAAGCCAAATATTGCAGCTACCACCCTGCCTGCTTGTTCTAGAGTCAGGCCTAGTATTCCTTGTTTAGGGGTGAAACTGGAGAGACCAGAGTCCCAACATGTCACTGGTGTGGGGTAAGTACAGGCGGAAGGTGAAACTGGTGCCAGCTCTGTGCTGCTGGTCCATGACCAGCTCCCCACTACTGCTGCCTAGCCCAGCCTTTGTCTACTCTTTCTCCTTGCCTAATTTTCATGTGTTTGCTTACAGACGGATCTGCTTTAACTATTAGGAAAGACAGATGTTCTCATTAGTTGCATTTGCTTCTTGTGTCTATTTGTGCTGGAACAAAATTTTATCGCATTTATTTTCTACTTTCTTTTCTTCCTTTCCATTTACTTAATTTTGCAAATTGTGTCGGTGGCTACAAGCTTAACAGAGGCTACAAACCTTGTCTTCCCGCTAACGTGCAGTTAATTTTGCTCGGCCCCGCCCCGCTCTGCGAACCCCGGTGGGAGCGGGAGGCCGGGCCTCCCCGCCGCTG